TTACATAAACACCTTGTATGAACAGTATGATAGGTGTAATTTGTTTGGCTTACTGGAAATTGACCTTAATTGGAGTATTTAATTTAGGAGATACTACTTTATTGATTCAAAATTAAACCATCTTTATTTTTTTTTTTTTCTTTGACTCTTACATTTAAATACCTTGAATTTTTTTTTTTTTTTACCTCCTTTTAAATGAATCTATAAAATACGTAGCCCTGCATAGATTTCTAATATAAAATGCATCGAGTCCTGACAACGGACTGTCATTGGATAGAAACAAAATATTGTATATTACAGCAATAGTACCCTCTAGTGGTGAAATCATCGCAGTCCAATACAACACGGAACTTCCTGTTGGAAGGTCTAATTTCCTCCTATTTCCTACACAGTAGCTTTCTTTCTTTGATGTCCTTTAGTAACCACTAATGGAGATTAAACATTAATGTGAAGATGGAAAATATACCGGTCGTGCACTGCTTTTTATAATTCATGTTTTTGTCGGTTGTCTGTAGGAGCTGTCGACATGAAAACACATCTTGGAAGCATCTAATGTTGAATTTACCGTTTTTATCCACACAGCTGTAAGTATCAATGACACACTAAACGACCTTAAGTGATAGGCTGTTGACGTTTCTTTGTGGTAGCCTAACTCCCAGCATGCAACTCCTGCTTCCTAAGTTTCATTTTCACTTCTTTGTGCCTGAAACGGTGTGCCGAAAAAAACACGGTAGGTAAGCTTAACTTTCGTTACACTCAAGTTCACATTATTGAACAATGGTAAGAAGTATAATTAAAACAATAACGCATAAATGCTTGGTGAATTAGGATGTTGTTCTTCCGGTAAAGGAATCCTGACCTATAATGAATGGAAATTCGTGTGAAATCGAAAGTGTTGCACTTCGACCTTAACGTGCGTTGGCCTTTTGTTCAAAGGTGTTTGTTTGTCAGCTATCGGTATATTTTTTTACTAAAAATAGAGGAATCAATGATTGAACATCTGAGAATTATTCGCTTATTACCAAGTCCAATTGAGGACCACCTATTATCTAAAATGTAAAAACTGTAGGCTAAAATAAAATTGTATTCCTTGAGATAAACATGAAGTTGTTTTGTATTTTTGTTTTATAGGTGAGAGAACCTCCTGCATTCTCCATCACCATGTTTGTGGCTCCTCTCCTGCTGCTGCTCTCACTTCCCTTTCCCCCCTCATCCGGTGCCCAGTTACCCAATCAAAACCAAGCCAAGCATGTCCCAGTGGCAACCAACGGACAGCCCTTCCCCTGGCACCACATGAGACTCCCTAAAACTGTCTCCCCCCTCCACTATGACCTCTCCGTCCACCCAAACCTCACCACTCTTGACTTTACAGGCATTGTTCGAATCCAGCTGAACGTGCTTGAAGACACCAGGACAATCGTGCTCCATGCCAAGAAGATGCAAATATCCAACGTGCTGCTCCTTGCACCTGAAGGCGTGAGGCCTTTGCAGGTGTTGGAGTATCCTCCTTTCCACCAGCTCGCCTTGCGGTCAGACTCTGTTCTGACCAGAGGGAGGAGGTATGAAGTTCAGCTACAGTTTGCTGCAAACTTGTCTGACAGCTTCCATGGTTTCTACAAGGGCAGCTACCGCACCAGCAGCGGGGAGGATCGGTAAGGGCAATAAGGACACACTATTCTATGTTTCTTAAAAGCATCTTGACATCAGTTTATTAGGGCCACATTGGTTTGACATACCAATATAAACTTAAAAAGAGATTTGATACACATGTTTTGTTGCATATTTCAAAATAAGGCTAATGTGATTGTGCTGTTTTTGTAGTCAAATGTACCACCTGATTCCCAGGTTTAATGGGAAATGTAGTCATAAAGTGATTCTCAAACTGATCTCTAACCATGTGAGTTACTTCATTAGTGTGAAAAATGGCAGTATTTGTTTTAAACGGCCATCGTAGCTTCACATAGTAGGTGGCCTTGAACAACTTTCAATTTCTCGTTCCCACCTTTGCTTAAATTGTAAACTAGCAAAGTGTCCAACAACCCAAAACATGACATACCAGAATATAAGCCAAGGGATATATATACATATAATAGACCATGATATTCTGACACATTTCTACAATTGACACAAACACAGATACTGTTTGTAATGTTGAACACATTTCATGTGTTAATGTTTAATGTGCCGCTAAAGCACTTCTTTAAATGTTTTGTACGTATAGCAGCTTTAATTATACTTCCAGTCTTCCCACAGCCTGTCTGGTAAACAGAAATATCACTTGTTTTTAAACTGTTTTCCACTCGCACATTTAGGGTTCTGGCGTCCACACAGTTTGAAGCCACCTTTGCCCGTGGAGCTTTCCCCTGTTTCGACGAGCCCGCCTTCAAAGCCAACTTCACCATAAGGATTATACGAGAGCCACGCCACATAGCTATATCCAACATGCCCAAGGTACACAAGGAGGAAGACAAATCTGTTGACTTTCAGCTCTAATGGGGAGTTATTGCTAATACCTTACTTTCTATTGGCTGTTAACATTTCTTACATTACATCAGAAAGGCATAACGTTTTTAAAAGGGAATTAATTCACTGTACTTTGTCTTTAATTGAACTGCTGATTTGCCCTTTTAATTCCCAACATCCGGTGGTTCTTAGGTGAAGACAGTGGAGTTGCCTGGTGGTTTGCTCGAGGATCACTTTGACACATCAGTTCAAATGAGCACTTACCTGGTGGCCTACATTGTGTCTGACTTCTCGTCTGTGAGCAGAACCACCCAGCACGGTGTCAAGGTGAGAAGGAGTTCTTTTACTTAAAGCTATACAGTCATAAATATGTGTCTCGTGGTTTTCCACATTTTTTTTTTCTTCACTTTGTTCTTTCCTGTGGTTTCCATTAGATTTCAGTCTACGCTGTAGCTGAGAAGATTGACCAAACAGCCTTTGCTCTGGATGCTGCCGTGAAGCTATTGGACTTTTATGATGACTATTTTGATATTCCTTACCCTCTTCCTAAACAGGGTTAGTGGAAATACATCACTATCAGTATTTAGGTGTAAATCAAACTTGTGTTATCATTGCTCAAATTTAGGATGGATTATGTTTTTACTGATGTGGGCCCAAAGCTCCCCCTCCCCCCCCCAATGTGAGGCCTTGGGAGCGGCTGCATTATCCCTGTTGTTGCTGTTATTACTTCTAAAGATTGGATTCAAGTTTTTTAAGTTATCTTTTTGTGATGTGCATGTTGAAGCTGAAGAGGAGACTTGTTAAATGTTATCAGCCAAAAATACTTAACAGAACATAACCAACATAGCCACTTTTTTAGGCACGTTAACTGGAGAGCATATAGTGTATGTGTAAATGAGATTTAATATTAACTTTATTTAAGGCTCTTAACAGTGAACATGCCCACAATTAGCATGTATTCATGTCACAGTCTTCATGGAATGGAAAAGCTGTAGGAATGTTACAGAAATTCCTGAAAATGGATGGAAATAGGAGAACAGTTTTCATCTGGAGGGAAAACAACACTTAGTCGAGCCAGCTGGTGAGGAGAAATATACCACGTTTTGATTTATTGATTTGCTCGCTGTTCCCTGCAGACCTGGCTGCCATCCCTGACTTTCAGTCGGGTGCAATGGAGAACTGGGGTCTGACCACCTACAGAGAGACGGGCCTCCTCTTTGACCCCGACAGGTCCTCAGCTTCAGACAAACTGGGGATCACCAAAGTTATCGCTCATGAGCTCGCACACCAGGTAGCTCATCTGTCGTCCTTTTAGTTTTTAGAAGTAAAGTTTGTTGGTTATAAACTTCATCAGTTATCCTGAGAGCAGTTTAAACAGCACTTCACTTCTTGAACATGATGAAATGAAACTCTTGTTACATGTTTTCCTCCTTGTGCAGTGGTTTGGGAACCTGGTGACGATGGAGTGGTGGAATGACCTGTGGCTGAACGAGGGTTTTGCAAAGTTCATGGAGTTTATTTCTCTTGACATCACCTACCCAGAGCTGCAAGTGGTGAGGGCCGATTATAGAAAGCTGACTACTAACCTCTTCATTATACTCTATCTCCATATATATCTCTTGTCTAACATTTAGAGAGTTTTTAGAGTAAACAAGAAAGAAACTCAAACGTATGTAAACTTATACTCTCTTCCAGGATGACTTCTTCTTGGGGAAATGTTTTGAGGCCATGGAGGTAGACTCCCTCAGCTCCTCCCACCCAGTCTCTACCCACGTGGAAAACCCAACACAGATCCAGGAGATGTTTGACGATGTGTCATACGACAAGGTCGGCCTTATTGATTACACTGTGTGTAAAGACCCAACAAGGGGCAGCAGTTTAGAATTACAAAAAGCTCTAAACTCTCTGTGCAACACATCAGTTCAAAAGAACTGTGTTAATTGCATTTTCCCTATCAATAAAAATTCAATTAAATGCCGCAACAAAACCAGCTGTATGGTGTTGATGCAGTGCGGTATTTGAACTTTGCGAACTTGATTTAAAGTAGACTGAAAGGGAGTCATTTCTATACATCATAATTTTATTTAATGAGTCCTTCCTAAAGTGAACCTTACCTGTCAAGTCTAAAAATAACATTTCAAAACAGAAATCTATCATTCATCATCAAATTGCCTTTAATTGTATCGCTTGAACTGCCTTTTGAGACCTGCCTGTTGTATCTTTCTTATTCCTGTGTTTTGCATCTATATTAATTTGTAGACTTCTCTCTGTTTGGCCTGGCTGTTAATATTTATTGTGTTGTTGTCCTGAGTTCCCACCCTTGCTTTGTCCGTCAAAGCACTTTGTAAACATCGTTTTTTAAAGTTGTTATATGACTAAAGTTATTGTCTTGTCTGTTTTGTCAGGGAGCCTGTATTCTGAATATGCTGCGGGACTTCCTGACTCCTGATGCTTTTGAGATTGGCATCATCAGATACCTGAAGCGCTACAGCTACCAAAACACCGTCAACAGCCACCTGTGGGAGAGCCTGACTGATGTGAGTGTTGTGTGATGGAGTACAGTAAACACAGCAGTGATTGGCTAGATTTGAGTTAAATATAGTTTGTCCCTGTTAAAGCCCAGTGTATACAGTGCATGTTCACAATGCGTGGATCACAATGACTGACAGACCGCACTATGATTGGCCAGAAGTCCGTTCGATTGCATTCAGGCTCGATTGCCTATCCGGTCCTGGGTAGCCCGGATGTTGCGATCTGAATTTTTTTCAACTTGAATTTTTAGACCTGAATTTGACAAATCGAATTTGAGTAACCTGAATCTTTTTAATGTTGAAATTATGACACTTGATCCATTTTTGGATCTTAATCATAAATTGTTGAATTCAGGACAAATAAATTCAGATACATTGTTTTCAAAGTAAAATATTTCAGTTCTATAAATTCAGTTCAATTAATTCAAATTTAAATATTTAACATTCAGTGGCTGTTAAAATTCAAATAATTATGTCTCTTATTTGCTTCCATACATGTAGCACAAACTTGTAAACACAGTCTTAACATACATATTTAACATACATACTTAACAGTCGTACAACATAATTGAAACATACTTATTCACATTTGAGATGGTTTTCAGGGAAATTGTAATACTTCCCATCAACTGACACATTCTGAGTGACTAGTTCTGGTTTTCAAACCCCAAATTTAAAGCTCATCTTTTAACCTCTGAGGGACTTTCTCAAGAAAATGGATCAGTATTAAAATGTATGCATTTTGAAATTCAACAGAACATGCACTTTATATACTGGGCTTTTTTGGATCTGAATTTGACCAGATGAACTCATGTTATAGTTTGAATTTTTTCAAGTTGTAATTTTAGATCTGAATTTGAGTAAGCTGAATCTTTTTGTTGTTGAAATTATGTCACTTGAATTTTTCAGGACAAATAAATTCTGATACATTGTTTTCAAAGTAAAACATTTCAAGGCTATGAATTCAGTGGTGTTTAAATTTAAATATTTAACATTCAGTGGCTGTTAAAATTCAAACAATTATGTCTCTTATTTGCTTCCATATACATGTGTCTACCAATGGTGGTTATGTTTTGATTTTTTGTGGGCATCTTTCCACCAGATCTGCAACTCTGATGATCTGCATGAAGGAGGAAAGAAACTCAAAGAATTCTGCTCCAAACGTAACCATTTGTCCGGAGCCTCTGTAAGTGTTCATGCTTTGTAGCAACCATGTTCAACAAAGCTCCTCGACTCAGCTTACAGAGTCCAGGTCGTCTATACTACTACTGTGATCAAACATTGTCAAACTTAAAGGGGCTATATGTAACTTTTTAAAAATACTGCGTTTGTAGCGAGACCGCATGGCCGTTAGGCGAACTGCACCAGTAACCTGTTGCTCGCTCTCCCTCGTGTGCTCGTCCTACGTGCTCTTACGTACACAAACGAGCATCATCATCGGATGTGAAACACTGGATATTTACCGGCATAATGTTTACAGAGGAGGTAAGTGGTCATACACATGTGAAAGTCTGTGAAGGAGTCTGTGTGTTTGTATTCATTCGCCATCCTACAAACGACAGTCTCTGCAGGCACTGACTGAGAGTGGGAGTGTGTGATGAGTTTGTACTGTTGATCTCTGTAAGCGGAGCGGAGTGAGGAGGACGTTGAGAACGGGCATAAAATGTCACTTCCTGGAGCTTTCTCGGAAATATGACCCGGGGAAAATTTTTATACAGATAGACAGTGAACATCTACTTTTTCACATCAGTTAACCGTTCGCTTATTAATGGGCGATAAAAAACGATTTATACATGTAAAAAGTTACATATAGCCCCTTTAACATGTCATTTTTATTGTTTCTAGCAGAAATACAGTTTTTGCTTTCTTTTTATTATCCCACAAAAATCATTCTTTGTTTCTTACTGCAAAAATAACAAATTAATCAAATACCCATGGCACAGTTTACCTTATTTGTCCGTATTTATGATGCTGAATCATTTATTGTGTAACAAAAGCAGAAATGGTTCTCTGGTGACGAGCTGGATGTCAGGGCCATCATGGACACCTGGACACTGCAGGAAGGTTTCCCACTGGTCACCGTGGAGGTCAAAGGTCGGGAGGTCAGGCTCAGTCAGGAGCGTTACCTGAAGACAGATGACCCCTCCCTCACTGAAGGGTAAAATGTCTGAGTACAAAGTCCTAAAGTGTTTTATTGAATTATAATAAACTTGTATAAATTTAAAAATAACAAAAAACTTCTTCATTATAGTGCAGGTGGTCGGCTTGTCTTCTGATGTTACCCTGCAAAATAGCATTAAGCTAACAGAGCATACATTTTCTCACATAAAATTACAACTTCCTTCTCGTTGAATTACGAACTGTATTGTTGTAAACTTTGGACATTTAAGACTTTATTTTCATAACATTATCACGCTTTTCTTGTCGGACTACGTCAATCCTCTCTTACATCTTGATTCTTGTATTATTACTGTAATTTTAAGACTTTATTCATGTAAAGGTATGACTTCATTCACTTTTTTAAGGTGTATTTTGGGGCTTTTAATGCTTTTTATTCAGAGATAGGACAGTGGATAGTCAGAAACTAGGAAGAGAGAGAGCGTGTGACAACATGTGGGGAAAAAGCTGGTCCAGAACCCGGACCAAAACCCAGACCACCCACCCGGGGGGGACCACAGTACCAACCACTTAGTGCACCCCCTTAGTTATTTTTTATATGGCGCTCCACAGTATTGCTTTAACTTAGAAGTTGATAAATGTATTGACAGAGTGATACATTTTTATGTGGAAACTTCTTACAAAGAAAAACTTTTCAGCGCCGACAGTCATCTTCACTTAATACATAGTTCACACACATGATGTTAAGTCTATATTTATCATCTTAGATATTCAATGTTTAACTTTTAAGTTTTAATTTTCTTTGGATTATCCTTTGGTTTGAATAGATTCCTCTGGCAGATCCCACTGACCTACATGACCAGCGCCTCCAGCACTATCCACCGCTTCCTGCTGAAGACAAAGACTGGTGAGTGTCTCTCTCAGTGTGATATGACAGATTCTTAAATGTTTATCCATATATCCATTATAACCACACGTCTCTTTACTTTAAAGCTCGTCTTTACTCTTCCTCCACACAGACGTCCTGTACCTGCCCGAGGAGGTGGATTGGGTGAAGTTCAATGTGGACATGAGTGGATACTACATGGTCCATTACACAGGCCAGGGATGGAACTCCATCATCAAAGTGCTGCAACACAACCACACAGCACTGAGCAGCAATGACCGTGCAAGCCTCATCCACAATGTCTTCCAGCTGGTCAGGTCTGTCATGTATCTTACTTTTAATAGTTTAGGGAAGGAATCTGATTTGCAGGGATTAACATTTCGATCACGGTGATCATTCCCACAAGAAGAATAGTCCAAATACCAACTTGGTGGTAAAAGTTTTTATTGCAAAACCTTCGCTCAAGTCCCCCAAATCTGTCTTTTGTAATGTTACCTGTAATTAGATGATTGACAAGACAAGACCTCAGCATGGTGTTGATATGAGCCCTGTTGTGTGTGTTGCAGTATCGGGAAGGTGAGGCTGGACACGGCTCTGGAGCTGTCTCTGTATCTGTCCAGAGAGACTGAGATCATGGCTGTGACTCAGGGCTTTGGAGAACTCGTTCCTCTCTACAAACTGATGGAGAAGAGAGACATGGCTGCTCTGGAGAACCAGATGAAGGTTAGTAAAGACATATCAGCATACATGCATTTATGTAATGAATCTAAAATATGATTTGTGGGCCAACATGAGACAAAATCGTCTCAGAGAGTAAACGACAATGCAAACACACAGTTCGTTAAAAAAAAATTGAAATCAAATGAGTAGTTTCCAGTTTCTAGTTTCTAATAAATATCTTCATATTTGTTATTTTCTTTAAAAAAAAAAAAAAAAAAAAAAGCTTTTTTATAGTATAAAATGTTTTAAGGATGGATGTAGGCCTGAAACTGGAAAATATTTGAAAATGTAACATTATTGCCTGTATAGTGTCCAAAGTCATGACAAAATGCAAGTTAACATGTTGTTAAAGCTCCTGTGAGGAACTCCTGGATACACATGTTGGAGTGTGTCTACTTAGCACAGCTCTGATTGATAAAACGACTGCTGGTGTTTCTCAGGGCTACATTGTGGATTTGTTCCACGGGCTGATGGATCGTCAGGAGTGGACTGACTCTGGTTCGGTGTCAGAGCGCATGCTGAGGAGTTACCTGCTGTTGTTTGGCTGTGTCAGGAACTACGCCCCCTGTGTTAAGAAAGCCACCCAGCTCTTTAGCCAGTGGAAGGACTCGGATGGCAAAATGAGGTCAGGAGTCTGAACAGCAAACTATCAGTCTTAGCTTTTCTTATGCAGTAATAGCTGAACTTGTGTCTGTTTATAATCATTTGTTGGAAGAGAGTAATCCTTTTTTTCTTTCTTTTTTAGCCTCCCTGTCGACGTCACTATGGCAGTGTTTATGGTTGGAGTTCGAACACCAGAGGGGTGGGACTTCCTCTTTGAGAAGTACCGCAGTTCTCTGCAAATGTCTGTAAGGAGCCGTATGAAGTCTGCCATGGCGTACAGTCCGCTGAAGGACAAGCTCCAGTGGTGGGTACATTTACTGTACCTTCCCTTTTCTTTTAGTCATCCATCTCAGCTCCTCTCTGATCTCTGACACTCATTTTGTATATTTACTTTTTCTTTGCCTCTTTCCTCCTGTTTCCTCCTGCATTCTACTCTGCTATTGCTTTTCTTATATTTCCTGTCTGCAGGATGATGGAGCAGAGCCTCCAAGGTGAGGTGATGAAAACTCAGGACCTCCCAGATGTGATCGTCACTGTCAGCAAGAACCCTTATGGCTACCAACTGGGCTGGGAATTCCTGAAAGCCAACTGGCACACAATGATCAAGAAGTCAGTCGGCCCTATAATGCATATCATTCATATTCCCTCTCTGATTTAACCTTTATTAAGCAACTATGTGTGAGCAAAAAAAAAATACTTCATATTAGGCAGCATTATGGGCAGCTGTAGCTCAGTTGGTAGAGTCGTCGCCTCTCACCCGGAAGGTCGAGGATTCGATCCCCAGCTGAGCCTGAGCTAACCTGTGCAAGACACTTAACCCCGCATTGCTCCCGCTGCTTCGGTGGCGGTGTATGAATGGATTAGTGTTGTACTTACTCTATGATGTACGTCGCTTTGGCTAAAAACGTCTGCTAAGTGAATTGTAACATTGTTGTAGAAGTATCATAAGGAGCTAGTTCAAGAGCTTTTACTGAAAACTCCAAAAAAATTCTTTATTGCTAACTCCAATTAGTATGCAAAATCTTTGTTTTGTACAACATGTTAGCAGAGATGTGTGTGTTAAACTTTCTGTTTACTTTGATGCCACAGATTTGACCTGGGCTCTAGCACCATATCATACCTTGTGACTGGGGTGACAAACCAGTACTCCACCAGGGAGAAGTTAGATGAGGTAAGCCAGGCTATGGGCCTAATTTAGAAAATGATTGCACAGCTTTTGCACAAGCTAACCTGTGCAAGTGAAACAAAAGGACACTGTAATTGACTTAATGACTTAATGCAGTAAGTTTATCTTTCTGCTCTTATCAGTCACTGTTGTTGATTAGGCTTATTTGTGGATGTCATATCAAATATTGGATATGTTTTTAAGCCAACCAACCTTTGTTCAGGTGAGGAGCTTCTTCGGCTCCCTGACTGAGGAGACGGGTTCAGAGATGAGATGTATCCGGCAGACCTACGAGACCATCGAGGATAACATCCGCTGGATGGACACCAACGTCCCTCTACTTCAGGCCTGGCTGGACAAACGTGGCCACAGAGTCCTGCATGAAGATTTATAGCCGTATGTGGAACAGTCTAAATTAAAGTCTAAATTGGACAGTTGTGTTGTTAAAGGCACAAACCAGAAGATATTTGAAAGCTTGTTGGCAGAATTAGGGCATCTCAGACTTGAAGCCCAAAAACTGATGACTTTAAGTATGAGGACAAAAATACTTTATATTTGATTTTAGCACCAGCAACTCTGGATTTCCCCATAAAGATAATAGGAAACCAAAAAAAAGAAATCATTTTTAAACTCATGCCACCTGGTAAATGGGAAATTGACTTTTTCTAGTATTCTGACTACTCAAAGCTCTTTTACACCGCAGGTCACACATACTCAATCAAACCCATTCACACACCTCATTGCATGTAATAAATCACCTTATCCTGGACAGACCTGACTGACGAGTCACTAAATACTTACTTGTGGCTTTGAAAGCATTTTTTACCGGCAGAGATTTTTTTTCCCAGGTTCAAGGGATCTAAGTAATTACAGATTTCCTTAAAGAGAATGAAGGTTTTCTTGGGATTTTAGTTTTCTAATGAAGGCACTCTGTGGTAGTCATGACTCCTAAGGATCAAGGGTGTCTCTGTGTTTGTTTAGTTTGTTGACGTGTGATTTAAAAAAAAAAAAAAAAAATGTGCCTAAGGATGTACAAATTTGAATGAAAAGTTCCTTTTGTGAATGTCTTTTTTTGTTGATGTAATCTTCATTTGTGCAGCAGAAAGCATCATGAACATTCTTCAAATCTGTACTTAGTGTCGTACAAGAAGAATTGTACAACAAATGTTTCATCTTCAAGAAATATTTTGGCACCAGACCACTCCATCTAACAAATGTGAAAATCTAAACAACATTAAAAAAAGTGTTCTCCTCTTTAGGAAGAAAACCAAAAAGCAGGCCTTCTGCCATTCTTTGGTAAAAAAGGCTGTTAGAGCTTGTACTACCTAAAAGACGGTACATCACAATGACTCTTGTTTTGCACTGTTTGCTTTAGTTTGAAACACTGGTTATATAAGAATGAATTCTGAGACTACTGCTTCTTCTTGGTAGCATTTCTTGATTTTCTTAAAGATGGCAAAAGCAAGTGCACTGAATAACATGTTAGTCTTATTTATCTGCTGCTGTAAACCCCCTCATCTGTTTAGTAGAGGTTGGCGTTTTACAGCCAGAATTATTTTTTATGAATTAAAAACTGCACCAATTCAGTCATTTTTAAGTGATGTTCATGTGTATTTCTTATCTTTGTTGATAAACCTGACGGTTACAGGTACACCTTTGCACCTTTTTTTTTCTCTGATGGCAGATCATTGCCAGACTGTTGTTTATATTACAGTAATTTTGCTTACCTATAAGTGCTTCTGTTTGATCAAACACAGACACACAGGCTCACAAAGTATATGAACAAACATAAGGGATTGGCAAATGTTTTTTTGTGATGACTTTTGTGTGCAAACTAACTACCCTGGAACAGAGATTTCAAGTCTGCAGTCCACTGAGGAAGGGCTTCTCTGCGGCAGTAGAAGACTTCTGAGTTATTGGAGGGCTGCCCCTATAGGAGTATCATTTATACGATTTGTTGAGGAATCAGTACCCACACACGACTGGCGGTGAGTGTGTGTTTTCTGATGAAATAACCTTTTATGGTGTCTGTGATGTCATCAGGGCTTAACTGCTTGAGTTTAAAGATATACGCAGATATAGCCTACGTACATGAGGTGGAACCTTACCGTTAGGCCATCAGCGCCCCCTCCATACACATCTTAAACTCTTGACCTGCTGCTTTGACTAAGGCACCCGTCGCAGCTCTGTGCTCTTGACAACACTGAGGGACCCTAAGAAGAGAGTGCTCTTGATTTCCTTTACTCTCCAGAACATCCAGGTAAGTTTTGATTTTTGACTATTTAAAGAAAACTGGTAAAGAAAACGTTTATTTCACTGCTTTTTCTCCACTGGTTACCTCTCCACTGAAGCCTTTCAAAGAGCGGTAGCTGTCACTTTAAGTCTTGTAACTTAGTCATAAATGCTTGTGATGGACCTTTAGCACATACTAATAAAACACACCATGGTCAAGCTGATAAAACACACACACATTCCAGTATATTTCACCATTTATTCATACATAGTATTTTGTTAAGACAGAACAAACGTACACACGCTCTTCATATAACAAAGAATATTTGAGTTTTTGAAGGTGTAACAGGGGCTGATGTGAATGCTGGGCTTTGCACTCACTGCCATGCTTGTACACACAGACACACAAAGAAACAAACCAACCTCTCATCAGCACACCCACAACAGAGGCTGCACTCTGCTCCTGTGATTTTTCCCTCTCAGTTCAAAGACCTGAGGAGAGACTAAAGGTAAGAGACTGAAGATTTTATTTCTGTTTAAATTCGGTGTCCTGAATCGGATGTATTATGAAGTACACAAAAATGAAACATACTTTGAGCTTGGACACTTTGTTTGTTTAGTCAGTATTTACACAATCGACCCCTGTTCCAATGTGCTCTCTGATCATGTGTTGTGAATTTTGACCTCACCTCTCATGTGATTTGTTTATGTCTTTGTTTTTATTCATAATATATTCAGCATTTAATTATTGGTAATGGTGGACCTGCTGGAAATATGTCTAGCATTTCAAGTCCCAATAAATATATATATTCAAGATCTTTTTTTGAAATACTTGATCCTTAAAAAAAAAAACATTACTTCTGTTTTAATGACCTTACACTGGCTACTCATTTCTTTTAGGATTGATTTTAAGGTTTTACTTCTTACTTTTAAAGCACTTCACGGCCTGGCTCCGGAATATATTTCTAAACTGTTGTCCCCTTACCAGCCAGTGCTCAGTCTGAGATCCTCAGGCAGGAACCTCAGCACCGTTCACACCACTAACTTAAAAACCAAGGGAAACAGAGCATTTGTAGCTCGAGCTCCTCAGCTGTGGAACTGAGGAACTCAGACTAGCAACATCAGTGTCTTCTTTTAAATCACTTTTAAAAACACATTTTTATCGAACGGTCTTCTTATAATCCTTGTTTCATCCATGATTTTTTATTTACTTGCATTTGTTTTATTGTTAACTGTAGCCAATTTGTGTCTTAGTTGTTTCTATTTACTTCTCTGTTAATTGGGTGATTGCTGGGCTTTTGTTTTATTCTCATGCTTTTAATAGGATTTTCTTATTGTGCATTTTACTGCTGGTGATTTTTAGACCCTGTAAAGCACTTTGTGACATTGGTTGTGATAAGCGCTTTATAAATAAACTTTATAATATTATATATTATTAAGTTAAGATGGTGCCAGGAACATTTTTTAACATTTTCTAAAAAATAAAAAATGTCTATCTGCTTGATTGCTTTTTGTCAGCAAATCTACAACCTTGGATCAGACATTTGTCAACAGTGAATTGGTCGACCCTTTAGGTTAACGCTACCTGAGGAAAACCTGCTGAGAAATCATCTCAATGTGCTCAATTTTATGGCCTCAATATACAGTCACTGATGATTACCTGATATGTGTCCACGCACAGTGGATTAAAGTGATCATTAAATTATTACATGATATCACCAACTAGGGCAGTAATGAAGATGGACTTTAAAACCATATATGAGGTTACTGGAAAACTCTTTTCCTGTCCAAGAAGTGCTTTTGTAAGTCTGTTGCCCGTATGTAGAGTTAGGTCATAACATAATCTTGGACTTTGGTGTCTTTAAAAAAGAATATTTATGGGTCTTAAGTTCAAAGTATGTTTCCCTGTTGATCCAGGAGAAGACAAGAGAGTTTCAGAGAGCATCAATCAGCCGTCTGTGACGCAGTCGTCATGAGGGTGTGTTCAAGTCTATAAAGTTAAGCAGCTATATGGAGGTGAAATATTCCTTTAGGTGATAAATTATGTTAATATAAGGCAACATGAATATTTAATGTGTGTTTCCTCCTCCAGGTACTGTGTCTCTGACTACATCTTCATTTGGATCCAGACTTTGTCTTCACAGTTTGAGGATGCCACTCCCCCTTTCTAGAGTAAGGGGCTTGTCTTTTCATCTTTATGTTTTGGGGTTTTATTCAACACGTTTTTTTGGTTGACATCTATATTGAGTTGTTTCACATACCGAACAAAGCTGAGCTGTGCCATTGATACTGCTGATGGAAATAATACATTAAAGGGGACATATTGTGAAAAATCCACCTTTGTAGTGTTTTTGAACATATATTTAGGTAAGTGTCTACAGACCCACAAAAGGTGAAATAAATCCACCCAGTCCTTTGTTGGTGGTCTGCACAAGTCTTACCACACAGAGAAAAGAGCTCTGTTTCACATTTCCTCTCCTTCTGATGTCACAGTGGGATTCTGTTTTTTTTTTTTTTTAAAACCCTACCCTTAAAGAATCTTTGTAGCAGACAAACATTAAACAACAGTCGGCTGAAGCAGTGTTGGGCTTTGAAAATTGCAGAGGGAGATGCAGAAAGAAGGAGAAAGATAGAGACAAGCAGAGCAACAACAAATAAGATATTTACATACAGTGTCAGTTATAATGGTAAAATGATGTGTACAGTAGAGTAGTATTAGCAGTAACAGCTGAGTATGATAATAGACTGATAAGTCTAATATTAACAGCTGCAAATGTAATGATGATGAAATGGGAAGGACCGATTATGTCAATTATAGAGGTTAAAGTTGAGCAGCACTAAGATACACTTCAATAGGTTTAAATCATTATAAAAGATGTACATGTCTCATGCTCTGAAAATGTCGTCTATGCATCATATCCTGCAATGGACCCTGAAATTAGCGCCATTTTTATAGCACTTCACATAAAATCTAGAAAGAATTTTTCATTTTAAAAAAGGCTTTAATTTACATACTCTCTGCTTCATTGTGTAGAAAATGTTGTACTTCTAAATTACACTTTCTCAATTAATATTTCTCCTTGTGTTTCCTTTCACCCTCATCTACTCTTCACCCGAAAATCATCATGACTCTCTCTTTATTCCTCTGTTTTGCACCCATGCCCATCTTTCTCATTCTACACCTTTTCTTCCTCTTCAAGGATATTCCTTGGCTTCCTAGGCTTCGGTCTCACCGTCCTGTTCTGCACCACCTTCTGCAGAGCATGCAGCCGCATAAGGGAGGAGCAGATAGAGGCAGAGACGCTGAGACGTAGTGAGCAGGAAGGCCGTCCCCATTCTATATATTTCATCCCTTTCCCCAGAAGCATATCGCAGCAGGACATTGAAGACCACTTCAGGGTACCTCGATACAGCCAGGAGGTCCAAAATCCACCAAGATACAGCACAGCTGCAAACAGCGGGCCACCACCTTCATATAATGAGGTCAAAACAAAATCAAAAAGCTTTATAAGCCTGACTTTGATGCACTTTCAACTTCATTGGAAAAATAATGTGTAACATCCGCCTGATTCTTTATGTCCTGCTATTTAATTTTGAATTTTGTGTTGTTTTCTCTGTTTTCTAGCTGGCATTTAAGCCTGAGGATCTCCCACCTGCCTACACAGAGTACAGCGCTCCTGTGCATCCATCACACCTCCGCCTCACGTAGAATTGGCTCAGCTACAAACACAGACACAACAATAAGCCAGGACTCTTACACTGTGCCTGTGTTGAGATCATGGACACTCTTGATCATTGAACTGCCTCATGGACTCGAGTGAGCTTGCATTTCTTAATGTTTCAAAGTTGTTTTTATTATTATAAATATACTAAAGATTATGAAAATGAAACAGAGGGAACCAAAACTGTGGAGATGTCATCAGGTTTAAGGCAAGTATATGGATGGTTATACAGCACATCCTCCAAACCAATAAAACACTTAAGACCCAAAAATAGATTTTATCCCCACATAATGATGATTGGAACATTTTTATGACAGCCAACTGAAAGGTTATGCTTCTGGTTTGAATGGTTGTTTTGTGACATCAGCACAAGGTGTCAAAAATCCCTGTAGGAGTATTAATGATATTATAGGTGAATATTATTGACTGTGTAAGAAGTGGGCATAGCCACCCTGACTACCATTCCCAAGCCCTGAGTTTGACATTGGGCTACATTTACTAATTCTATGCAATATGGTTACGGTCAGGTGCAAATATGAATCCATTCTTCTTAATAGTATAAGTCATATTTTTGATTACACGTTTTCTTGCCTCTTCAACTAATGTTTGATCCTTTCATATCATCTGGAAATTACACATTCAAGGCCATCTTCAGTAAAGTTTTTGATCTGTATAGTTATACAGAGTATTTTGTGTAATGAAAGAAATAATATATGTGTAAAAAGTGAATGCATTATATACTTTAAGTTTTATTGAACTTCAGACAAACCCAGAGAGACAAAGCTTTTGAGAAGCACAATGTTCTTCAGGGTAGCCGTTCAACTCTCAGGAAAACTTCTTGGTTTATTGCAAAAAACGTATTCTAAGGGGGACAAACTTGACAGCAATTTTCTGTTTTTCATTTATCATACTATTATTTCCCCTTTGTTATCTTTATTTTAGTTTCGGTGTCGCTCGACTCTGTCCTGGTGGCTCACAGTATTTCCCTTTAAGCAGTATTGTTGCAACAGTCCACAAAGAGAGGAGTGCTGTTTGGAGAGTTTGTTTGAAATCAAACAATAAAAATGTTTTATATTAAATGTTAACTGAGCAATTATCCCTCTGGAATTGTTAAATTCTCAGGACAAATTTGTATGATATATGTAAAGTAGCTGGTCTACTGACAGATCTCTGAATTGAGCGTCTAAACAACTGTGTCTCTCCAAAGTCAGTATCACTGAAAGTTTTAGGAAAATAAAGGTTAAACATAGGAATAACTTGTTATTCTATACAAAACTTCTATGTGGATATATAAGATGTTCACTGTGATGATACTTGAAATTGTTTTTTTACACACAATAAATAGGCACTTTTATTGAAGTGGAGTGTTTCAGTGTTTTTTTTGTTTTTTTAATTTGTTTTCAGATGATGCACTTTTGCACACCGCGTTCTGTCTGAAAGGCTCTTTAGAGTAACTCATCATCACACTGATGTAGTATGCATGTGCGTATGGATGATCAGCATCGAAATAAGATAACTCTTTGTCCACAGGGGCGCCAGAATCGACACACAAACTGTAAGTCCTCACAGGAGATTTGATGATACCTGTGAATGTAAAAGCCGACAAGACAGAGAAACGTTAAATGCAAG